ATATTTTGATTAAAAATACACTGATAAGGGCTGGGGTTGTGGCTCAGTGGTAGAATGCTTGCCTAGCATGTGTGAGGCTTGAGTTCTGTCTTCAGCACCATATAAAAAATAAAGTTATCATTCATCTACAACTAAAAATAAAAAATAAATACACTGATAAGTCACCCTCAGAAACTAAGTGTGAATTTGTTATTTCTGTCATCCATTCATGGAATGACACTGAAGTCCAAAGAGAGGGGAAATGGATGAAATGACCAGGTGACGTGAGGTAATTGGTGCGAAGGACCGTCTCCAAGCAGAGGTGGAGATGGCGCTGTGTGTGACAGGTGCCTGAGTCTCAGCCGGGTTCGTGAGTTGGTGAAAGGAGAGTGCTCCAGCAGTATCAGCATTGCTGTCTTTGTTACTTTTAGGTGTTAGAGTTAAAAATCGTGGAGAGGCTATAATGAAACAACTTAAACTGTAACCTCTTCTATTCTAAGATTAGCTGGCCATTTCAGTGTTCTAAACTTAGAGAGGTGTTTAAAATTCCAAACACATTTCAGTCAGTGCACTTAAATAATACCTACAGAATGGAGTCTTGCTTTGGAAATAAGGAAATTTCTTGTTCATCATGATATAGAGAATTTTGATAGGTTAGAGAATTTTGATAGGTTAGTAGATTTTTTTCAGTTAAATAATCATGTTCTTTCCTGTTGGCAGCTGCATTATTTAAAAGATCACACAGTTAAAAAAGACATGTCCAAAACTAGGGAAATAGTCACTTTGTTTAATCAAACCTGTTAAACACAGTTGAACTGTATGTACATCAGGTGGAATTCCACTTTGTGTTTCCGGTTTTTGCAGAACAGAACCCCAGCCTCCTTTCTGCCTCCCTAGCTGTGTGAGCACACTGCTGGCCCGGCTGCAGATTCTGGTGTCTCCAGCAGAGGCCTGTCTGCCTGGGATGGGTATCCCCATCTGCGTGTGTTCTTTAATTTTTAAATGTAATAAGTGAAGTAAAATGTTTGGGTATGGTGGAATGGATGAGTCAACTTTACATATACATTTTTAAATAATGATATCAAAGGTAAATATAAGAAATGATGCAGATCTGTTGTCTCAAGAAAAGTGCTTTTTAAGTTTCGGGGGAAGAACCTAGACAAAATGGAATCAGTCAGTATGTTTCCAAAAATATTCTAGAAGATACATATACTTCCTAAAGGTTATGACCAGGTACCTTAGTGATTTTTACATAATGTGGGCACAGGTCTTTGTTGTTTCACGAAGTTGAGAAAGGTTTGTTTGATATCTGTGTTTCAGAGTGGCTTTTTCTTTTCCTTTTTCAGCAGCACTGAGGAAAGGCACTCTCCTACTGAGCTATAACCCCACCCTTTTATAAAATTTTGAGACAGGGTCTCACAAAATTGCAGAGGCTAACCTGGAACTTGTGGTCTTTCTCCTCGGCTTCCCAAGGATTAGAGGCATGCGCTGTCGTACCCAGCTTAAAGTAGCTTTTAAAAGATTTTCTGTAGTTTTCACGTTGTGCTGTAAATTGTGAGGAATGGGATTTCGTGCCGTTTGATGTGTTCTGGATTGACTGAACGAGTGGGGTGGTGGACTTTGATGATCCGACGGTCGTGTGCTGTTAGCGCACAGGCACAGCCCCCAGCTCTGGCCCTGTCTTGGGTGGGCCCTGGGGTGGTCAGGCTCTGTCAGGCTGGCAGTGCTGCAGTGCTGCCTGTTAAATTCTGAGGTGGGTGCTGCTGCTTCATCCTGGAGCCTGTCCCCAGCAGAGGGCAGCAGAGCCTGTGGCGCGCCTCAGCCGTGTGCCCTGAGAGGCAGCTGCGTTCTGAGTGGAGGTCGGTAAGAATCCCTTCTGTGTGTCCATAGTGGCCCGTGGAGTTCTGGTGGTCATGAGAAGGAAGCCAGCCCATCCTTACTGTAGCTGCTTCTCCATGTGCTTCAGACTGGTTCTTCAGAGCTACAGTTGGGTAGCCACTGCCGGGTCCGGCCTCTCCGGGGCCCCAGGCTTCCTCGTGGCCCTGGTGCCTTCTGAGCAGGGCCCCCCGTCAGGGGCAGCCCAGCTCTGACTGTCGGTTGGTGAAATGCTGGATGGGGACTGCCCACTCACATGCCAGCCTCTAGCCAGGCAAAACAAGAACTCTTTTTCCTTCCCACCTTCTTGGCCGTAGTTTCAGTCTTCAAGAAAAGTTGCGATAATACTACATATGAATTTTCATATGAGCTCACCTAGGTATCTGCTACCTTCCCATGAGTGATTCATTTCAAAAACAAACCAAAAACCCCCAAAATCCTCTCACACAACTGCTGTGCCGTCACCAGAGCCAGTAGTCAGTGTCTGTCCCGTGCCACCCTCTGTGCTGCAGAGCCCCTTCTTTTTCTGAGGAGGCCTCTGTAGCAAGAGCCGCCTGTCCTGAGTCAGTGCCATCTGCCTTCCTCCCGGCCTTATTGTCGGCTATCATAGAGCACGCCTTGGTTAGACTGTGGTTTGCAGGTGAGTAGGACTGACACAGCAGTGGTGTCACTTGAGAAAGCCTGTGAACTCCGTGCATCCTGTGTGGTGAGGTTAGACGTCGATCCCTGGGTATGGTGGCGTCTGCCAAGTTCCTGTTGCAGAGTCACTAATTTTCCCACTGTAATTAAGTATCTTGACAAAGATACTTTATTAATCTGTAAATACCTTAAATCCTCACTGAACTTTGACCCAAAGACAAACAGCCCATTGGCATGGCTACATGATTGAGGCTTTGAACTTGCACAGGCCACAGAGCACCCAGGACTCGTCCCTGTGCTATCGTCTCGCAGCACCCAGCTGCTTTCCAGGGCATAGGCCCCGCCCAGAACTCACCTGCATCTCTAGCTCTAGAAGCTGCCCTTGACGGATGCTGAGTGAGGGGACACAGGCTTGTCCTCATGGCCCCAGTCGGCAGGCTCTGCTGTGTCTTCAGCAGATGCTGTCCCAGGCCTCTCCCCAGAGCCTCTCTCTGGGCCGGCAGGTGCTGTGTCCAGTGGCACCTTTCTTCTCAGACTGGTCAGGCGGTGGTGTTGGCATCCCATGCTCATTCATCGCAGCGCAGGTTTCTAAGTAGACTGTCACTTGGAGCTGAGATCCTGTGGGCTGCTTTGTGCTTCTTTCTGAGGGAGCCGGCTCCACTCTACACTGAGATCCTCTTCATTCAGAGGAGAGTGGGCTTTCTGCCGGGGTGTGGGAAGCATTTGGGAACCTTCTGTACTGGCCTTGCGGAGCATCCTTCAAAATTCTAGTTGACAGGACAGGGATTCATAGAGTCACTTGGAGTTGGAGAGCTCGAGCTTAATTTTAGTATATATTTATTTTAACATTTTTATGAGTATAAATTTTCATATTCTTAATCCCCATAGGTATAAGTAAGATTAGATGTCAACGTTTTATGGGGAATAAAGTTAGTCTGTGACTTCCTCTGCAGGTAGTCCTTAGATAGCCGTCCAGTGTCCCTGCAGAGGGGAGGCTTCTGCAGGCTGCATGACACTCACTTGCATGGTCTGCGGACTTCTTGGGTGATGGAAGCTGTCACATGAACCTGGAGCTGTCCCTGTGGGTGAGTGTGCTGGCTGGCTGCTGTACCCACTGGGATGGGCTCCTGGAAGCTGAGTGCACTGGTGGACAAGCTAGCAGGCAGTGTGTCTCCTCTCTCTACCTCAGCCTCCAGCATGGGCACCCATGGACATTCTGGGATGGGTGATTGTGAAGCAGTGTCCTGTGCCCTGTGGGATGTTGAGCGGCAACCGAGATCCCCCCAGGTGCCCATTGCTGTCCCAGGTGTCTTGGTGTGCAGAATCTGCACTGTAAAATAAGACCCTAGCGCAGAAAATTACATGACTTATGCACAGTAGAAATAAAATTGTAGAAATCAAGGAGCTGGTTCTGAAGTTTATATGGAAATTCAGGAACCTTAGAAGAGCAATTTCAAAAAAGGACAAAATTAAGGGGTGTATTGCCTGGTTTTAAAACATACTGTACAACCTCAGTAATCACGGCAGTGTGGTAACCGATGTAAAAGTAGACGAGCATCATAAACAGACCAACAGGTTGTCCTCAGGGTACCCGGGAAGTTCCTTGGCCATATGGGCCAACAACTGTCTGTCCCTTTAGTGGACAGAATTGTCCTTCCACCCCCATGGTCAGAGGGAGATGTGACATTGGGGAAGAACCAGAGAGAGTGTGAGGACCTCGCTCCCCGCCAGCCAGGATGGCTGCAGCTAACAGCTGCAGGTGCCTCTGAAGAGCAGAAGCCACAGAGCACTTCTGGGGCCATGGAGGGGCCAGCTCTGCCCAGCTCTGGGCTGGAGCTCAGTGAGACTCCTTCAGACTTCATCTGCAGAACTGAGATCCCAAGCGTGTGCTTTGGCACTGGGTGGGTGATCTGTTAAGAGCCACACGATCCGCAGGCAAGGTAAAATAGCCCAGCCTTTACTTTACGTCTTACTGAGAAGTGACTCAGTGATTGCACGCCTGATGACATGATGTAGAACTGTAAACCTGTGGAAGGAAATCTAAGCAATCTTGCGTAAGGCGAAGATTTCCTAATAAGGATGACCCCCAACATGCAATTAACAGTACTTCACCAAGTCTTGTAAAACTTGCTCTTTGAAAAATACTAATAAAAAATGAAAAGTGAACTGTAGGCTGGAGGGAAAAAATCTTTGCAAAAAAAGATGCTCCTTGGGCATTTGGCGGAAACACCAGGGTGGCAGGAGCAGCTAAGAGGAAATGATTGTGTTCGCTTGCCTGGTTTCAAAACACTGTACAACCTCAGTAATGAAGGCAGTGTGATGACTGGTGTAAAAGTAGCCGAGCATCACAAACGTGGGCCTGGAGCCCAGGAGGCTCATGACTGTGTATTCCTTTCCTCTCCGCTGCTCCTGCCACCCTGGTCCTCCGTTCTCTTGCAGTCTTTGATCACAAACCCCACAGCCCATTGCATGGCCAGTTTACTCTCTTCTTGTGACACCCACCCTAGCACCTCACGGGGCACAAGGCACACCCAGGCCTGACAGAGTCCTGATGGCCCAGGGCTCTTGTGGCCCTGTAGCTTTGGGAAGGAGCATTGAGTGCTGGTGCTGGCTCTGCCTGAACACCCAGAGAGCCACCCTGTGCACGCCTTAGCCACACGGAGGGTTGGTTTTGATGGGGCAGGAGCAGTGCAAGTGTCCCTTTAGAGAGCTGGCTGCTCTGTGGTGTACAGGCATGGGCCAAGGAGAAGGGGGACCAGGCGCTCACTGAGGGGCTGGAGACCTGGAACTTGGTAATGGTGCTCTGGTGAGAGACACCGGACTATTCAGAGGACAGGGTTTGAGTGTCGTGGTTGGGGTAGAGCAGTGCCAGACATGGGACAGAGCCCCAGAGGAGCCTGGGCACTGGGAGGAACGAGGCTGAGTCAGGCGCTGTGGCCTCCCTTGTGTACCAGTGGACCCCAGGCTGTCAGTGCTGTGGGTGTGAATGTTGTGGAACCTGGAGGTGTCCCAGAGGGACGATGATTTGGCAGGAAAGCCACGTGGATTGGTGCAGGTGGCCTGCTCCTTTTACTTTAAGCTTGGGAAGCAGAGCAGAGTTTGGATGGAGGTCAAAGTGTTGTTTCAGATGGTCAGAGGGTACCCTTGGGGGAGGGGAAATATTGGTGGGACAAGTTTCTGGAGGGACTGTCAGGACGGGAGGAGACACCCTCTGCCCAAGCCATGCTCTCTGAACCAACAGGAACTGTGAGGTTGCTGTGTGGAGCTCCAGCCCAGGGCTCACAGTCCCGTGGGAGAGAGACTACCCTAGTGGCCCTGGTTGTGGATAGTAGGAAAAGAAGCCAGTGCCTGTGGGATGCCCAGCGTGGCCGTGTGCTCTAATTTGAGACCCAGTAAGCTGATTCTTTGGGACTTGGAACTTTATATTTTACGGCCATGGTTGGGTGTCCTCGGGAAGCAGAGCAGAGACACTATGCCTCCCTTTGGCAGTGCTGGTGGTCCGTGGCCTTGCCGTGATGGTGTGCTGTGCCGGCCATGGTGGGGAGTGTCCTCGGTATGCCTTTGCTGTGTGCACACCTTTAGTGAAACGTCTGCCTGTTTTCTAGCAGGGTGGTGGAATCAGAAGAGTTCTGTGTACCACATACCAGTCCTTTGTTGGGGTGTGACCTGCAGACACCTCCCAGTGCATATCTCGTCTTTACACCCTCACAGGGTGTTTCTAGAGCAGGAGTTTTAATTTTGATGAGCTGCAATGATCAGTTTTACTGTTTATGGCTCAGGCTTTTAGTGTCAAGTCTAACAATTCTGTCTAGACCATGATCTTAAAGATTCCTTCCCTTTTTTAAAGTGTAAGTTCATTTTGAGTTGGCTTTGTGTGAGGTCTGATGCTCAGGTCAAGGTTTTGTGCATTATGTTCTGTCTGTCTTTTCAAGTTTGTTTCACCTACTTGAGGACCAGTGCCTTTCGCATAGTTCTTAAAGTAAGTTTGTGCCTACAGAAGCTGTGCTGGGACTTTGATAGGAGTTGGGGAAACCTGAAGGTCATTTTGAGAGAACTGACATCTTTGCTGTGTTGTCTTTCAATCCATGATGGTTATTCTCACTTTTGGTTTCTCACATCAGTGTTTTTGACGTTCAGCATACAAATTCTGTGCATCTTGTTAAGCATTCTAAACCAGCAGTGGACACAGGGAGAAAAATCTTCTCTGCATCTGTATAAAACTAGGAATATTAAAAGTTCTATCAGAAAAAATACTTCTGAACATGAGGCTTTCTGGAATGGGAACCACCCATGGGAGGAGCCACAGCTTGTTATCCTTAGAATCACCCAAGTGCTTCCCACTGCGTTCAGGAATAAAGCTCGGTTTCCACAAGCTCATCGGAAATACAGGGGGTCACAAGCACATATTTAATATATCTGATGTCTTTTGAGGCCATTTCTGTGTGGTCTACTCTTCTAAGTAGACATCCTTATTTTTTCAGCTCCTCCTCTTCTCCTCCTTATTTTTTCTGCTATGTATAGCAGAATTTGTTCTGTTTTGGTTTCCATGAGAGAGATCCACAAGGGAAAAGTCCCTTCATTCTATTTATTTATTTAGTTAGTTAGTTAGTTTTCATGGACCTGGTACCTTTATTTTATTTATTTATTTTTACGTGGTGCTGAGGATCAAACCCAGTGCCTCGTACATGGGAGGCAAACGCTCTGCCACTGAGCCACAATTCCAGCCCAAAGTCCCTTCATTTTGTAGTCAAAGCAAACAACCCTGGTGTGGGGTGAGGCCCTCTGGAGCAAGTGAGAGCCAGGGTCGAGCTGGCCTAAGGCTCATGCCCTTTCCTGGTGCCCTTTCTCATACTCTGACATACCCATGGATTCTAAAGCGTTCTTTCCTTTATGATGAGTCATTGTTTCATCTCATGTTTTGCAGGGCGCTTTTGGTGACGCTGGAAGGATGCAGCCACCCGGTTGTCATGAAGGGCTTGTGTGCGGAGTGTGGCCAGGACCTGACCCAGTGAGCAGCACTGGAGGGAGGAGCAGCACTCCTGGGGTCTGAGGCGGGCTGTGGGCAGGGTTCTGAGAACAGATGCCTTCCCTTGGCCACACCCAAACCAGACTGCATCCTGTTTCATTCTTGGTTTGTGGAAGCCCCAGATCACTCCGGGTGCTCTGCTCAGATGCAATGGGAGCATGCTGCAGGGTTGGGGTTTGTTCTCCCTGTGGGGACCACAGGCTTGTCATGTCCCCGGTGCAGATGGCCATGTTCCCGCCTGAGCCCTCTTTTCCCATGCTGTGGGCCAGCCAACTGCTGATAACAATGGTTCTTTGTCAGTCTAGAGGGTGGCTGACACTTGGATTTTTTTTTTTTTCTGTTTCATTTATAGGCCTGTTCATGGGTCTCATGACTTTGTAGTTAATTAGAGGGTTTTGACCCTGAAAGCAACTAACTCTTGACTGCAGGCGTGAGTGTGGCTGGGACAGCTGAGCTTTGTGGCCCAGAGTGGCATACTGAGAGCTTGGGGTCTGGTGCTTTCCTGATGGTGCTCAGACAGTGGAGGGCATTCCCCAGCTGCCGCAGAGCAGGGTTCTGTGCAGGGGCAGTGGGCCTGGCCCTGCCTGCATCTTGGAGCCCATCCCAGTTAACCCCAGCACAGCAGCTTCTAAGGTATCTTCTTGCATTCAAAGGCTGCAGAGCAAGAATGGCGAGCAGCAGGTGCCGCTGTCCACAGCAACCGTGTCCATGGTCCACAGCGTGCCAGAGCTGATGGTGAGCTCTGAGGTGAGTGTACACGGGGTCCTGTGAAGACATGGGACCCGTCTACAGTGTCATTTCTGAAGGGTAGCTGTGCACTGGCTCAAACGTTTCAGACTGATGGTTTCTGTCCTCCGCTTTCTTTAACCAGCAAGTCTGCCCCACAGCTCCGTGGCAGGAACCTCCCTCGTGCTGCCAGTGCGGGCACCGCTCTGTCTGGGTGCCCTTAGAGCCAGATTCCTGGTGAAAGGGATGTGGTGGATGCCTGGACACAGCTCCAGAGGCAGCATGCTTCCAAGGGTGTGCACAGGGAGGACAGCAGGGCCAGGCGGCTGTGAGGGACAAGGCTGCTGGGGCAGTCTGCTGCCCAGGCACTGCCATCGTCCTTATGCTGGTGGAGCTAGGGATCAGCTGCCATAGAGAGGATTGGAAGTGAGGTGGCCAGGTGGGACCCCGGTGACATCTGCTGTGCTGCAGGTCCTGTGCAGGACTGGGAGGCCGGCCCTCCATAGCGTCTTGAGTGCCTGTGCCGCTCTGGTATCCACGGGTCACCCTGAAGCTTGGGGCTGCATGGGCCTCTGTCTGGTGTGCAGGCAAGTGTCCCGGGAGGGGCAGGAGCTAGCACCCTCCATCCCCCCACCCCGGCACCTGTAGAGAGCTCCACAAGCAGTGGGTGTTTGGTCTGGGTTGTGAGAGTGCTTCAGGGTCGTCCATTTCTGTAAGTGGGGAGACGTTGCTCATTATGGGGATTTGGTCAGACTCACGCTCTCAAGGGACACACATCAACTTCCGTCTGTTTTTATGGGGAAGACAGAATGCCAGATGGACCGCTCTGGCTTTTCTGGATTACTGAACTTTAAACAGATGTGAATTCATCTGTGTGTGTAAAACAAAGTCAGGAACTTTGGGGATACAGGAGAAGGGCATCTCCCGTCTTCCCACCACAGCAGAACTGCTGGCCCTTTATGCCACATCCCTTTCAGGAACCATGTGGCAGGAGGTCTCCAGCTGACCTCTTCTGTGACTAGCTGAATGCAGTCACAGCAAGAAACCTGGCGTGAAGCACACCTGACATATTTACCTTGTGGATACGCTTGCCCTCTAGCAGGTTGGGCAGGGCCGTCTCAGGAGAGCCCGCACTGGGCCTGGAGTGTGGATGTGCTGTCGCGCATCTCTGGGCCCAGCTGGGCCCCCCTGGGTGTTGCACAGCCAAAGCTGCTGCAGGGTTCTCTGCCGCCGCTTGCTTGCAGTCTCACAGGGAGGGTTTCAGGTGAGTAGTACTGAGCTGCAGTAAACTCCCAGCGGGAGATTCGGGAAGAGGAGAACCAGAGAGAGCATTCAGTGCCACACCAGGTGTCCTGTGCAGTCTCAGAGAGATTTGCGGTTCATTGTCCTGGTTCTGCTCTCTTCTTCCCCCTCAGGGGGTCTCCTCGTACCGACCTCATCACAGGGTGGGTGTGCCCTGGTGATGAGGGAGAGAATGTCAGGGAGACCTGGTCACAGGAGAGAGTGGTTCCCTTAAGGGGTCGTAGTTAACTTCCACCCAGGAGGCTCTGACACGCCAGGCCCCATTTTCCTGAAGCTCACCAGCTTCCATCAGGTCCCATGATTGGGGAAATAGTCACTTAGGGTGGTAATTACCCACAACCAGGGGGAGGTTGGGCATTGGGGTTCCCATTCCCAGATGCCCTCTTCTCCAGGAAGACTCCCTGGGGTCTCAGTTGGATGACTTATGGATTTTCTTAGTGCACACGTCTGACGTCTGCCCCCTGCCTGTTCATGGCTGATGGACCTACCTCACAGTGATAAGGGGCAGCACTGGGCCAGGAGGACTGAACCTCCTCCCTGGCCTCTGGACCAGGCCCGTGGTTCGCACTGTCAGCCTCCTCTGTCATTGTTGCAGCTCACCCGAACTGAGGTGCTCCGTAGCATTCAGCTGAGTTGTTAGACACCCACTTCCTTTCCCCCTCTCCTTTTCATATCTATCAGTTACAAAGTGCGCCATGACCCACATTCCTGTGAGCAGGTTTTGACCAGACAGACTGCATTCTGGTCAGTGTGCAGCACTGGCCAGTGGGGAGGCCGTGAGTGTGCAGGCTGCTGTGGACTCTAGGTCCTGGACATGCGATGATGCTGATGAGGACCTACAGTGTCCTTTCACTTCTTTTAATGGAATTGGGGTTTACATTGGATCCAAACATAAGAACTCTTTTAATTCTTTCTTTTAATTTTAGCAAGCTGAAAAACTTGGAAGGGAAGATCAGCAAAGACTACATCGAAACAGAAAACTAGTCCTCATGGTTGATTTGGACCAGACCCTAATTCACACGACAGAGCAACACTGTCCACAGATGTCAAACAAAGTGAGTATTCAGTGTAAGAGTACGTTGTCTTGGGGCTGGGGTTGAGGCTCAGTGGTAGAGTGCTTGCCTAGCATGTGGGAGGCACTGGGTTCAATTCTCAGCACCACACACAAATAAATAAATTAAAGGTCCATCAACAACTAAAAAATATTTTTAAAAAAGAGTACGTAGTCTTGTTTTTAATACTTCTATAGGTCACCCAGTGTTTGGGTTTCAGGTTAGCCAGTGTGGACATGATCTCGTGCTGCAGTTCACTGTGTCTGAGCTGTGGTCATTATCCTACGTGGTTGTTAGGTCCTAAGGGAAAATTACATCACCATGGGTGGTTAGCAGTTACCAGTGGTAGTTAACTGTCACCATGTGTGGTTAGCAGAAGTAGTCACCATAGGTAATAGCCATAGGCACTTGTGGGTGATGGTTGTGGTTACCAGGGGTAGTTACCCCAGGGAGCTGTGGTAGTTATTATGGGTAGTTGTTAGGTCCCGAGGGACTGTCACCATGTGTGGTTAACATGGTTATAAGTGGCAGTTAATCAACACAATGGGTAGTTGGTAGTTACTATGGGTAGTCAGCAGAAGTGATCACTTTAGGTAATTGGGGTGATTGCATGGTTATGAGGGGTAGGTACATCGGGAGCTGTGGTAGTTGTCATGGGTAGTTGTCAGGTCCTGGTGGTCAGTGCGCTTACAGGGCAGTTGGCTTCAGAGGGTGTCAGCCTGCACTTCCTCAGTCAGTGAGTGTGAAAAGTTTTCCCCTGGTGTGTATCAGAGCTAGCTGCTGGCTCCTCCTGAGGTCCTGGTTGGCCCTGAAGTTTTTGAGGTGACCAGCACCTCACCAGGGTAACTTTTCCTCTTCAGGAGAGGATAAGCCCCCTGAGAAATAGTGAAGTCTGAAATAGTGAAGAAATAAGAGACAAAGTCAGAGAATCAGGTTTTTTGTTTTGGGGGTTTTTTTTAGTATATTTTTTATTTTTAGGTGGACATAATATCTTTATTTTATTTTTACGTGGTGCTGAGAATCGAAGCCAGTGCCTCATGCATGCTAGGCCAGCGTGCTACCACTTGAGCCACATCCCCAGCCCAGAGAATCAGTTTTAAAAGCAGAGTGCCTGGGCTGGGGCTGGGGCTCAGTGCTGGAGCACTTGACTAGCATGTGTGAAGCACTGGGGTCCATCCTCAGCCCCACATATAAGTTAACAAGCGAATAAAATAAAGGTACTGTGTCCATCTACATCGAAAACCAAATAAATAAAGGTACTGTATCCATCTACAACTAAAAAACATTTAAAATAGAATAAAGCAGAGGGCCTGACAGAGTCTTCTAGTCCTGGGAGGAGCTGGAACCCAACAGTTAAAAAATGGCTCCAGTTATTCAAGGGAGAGGATCAAAGGGAGGGAGACGGTTTCAGCAGCGGAGTCTTTGTTTATGGTGTCTTGCAGTCAAAGGTTGATGGCATCTTGACAAGCCACACTCATCTCTGAGAGGCTTGGGGACCTTTTGGCAGAGCTGAGTAGGAGCTCACATGTGTCTGGGCGTCTCACTAGCAGGATTTTTCCTATTCGACGACTATGATTCCGGTTTGGTCCATGCACCGTTCACGGACGGCTCCCGACACTGGAGCTCGTCTGCAAACTCCTGCCGAGCCCGTGCGTGCTCTCATGGCCCTGTGGTCCTTGCAGGGCATCTTCCACTTCCAGCTGGGTCGGGGTGAGCCGATGCTGCACACCCGGTTGCGCCCGCACTGCAAGGACTTCCTGGAGAAGATCGCCAAGCTGTACGAGCTGCATGTCTTCACCTTCGGCAGCCGGCTGTACGCACACACCATTGCAGGTCAGTTGGCTACTGCAGGACCAGCAGTGGGGTCAGGGCTGCCGATCTGGGCATCTTCAGGAACAGCATGTTAGCTTAACAATGAGGGCAGGAGAACACAGGCTCAGTTCTTGTGTTAGCAGCAGGGCGTTGGTAGGTGAGAAATTCTGCTGTGGCAGCCGAGTGCTCTGGCCAGGAGCCACCGAGTAGGCCAGTGTGCAGGACCATGGATGCTTGGGAACAATGGTGGGAATGTGCTTTCTGAAGCTCCGGAATAGCTGAAGGAGGGCCTCTGGCACCCGCCACTGGTCTTGGCTACACTTGAGCTGCTCTGCAGTGGCTTCCTGCACTGAGTGCTGTGCAGGAAGACCGTCTGACCCCCCCGTGTGCTGCTCCAGTGTGGGGAAGGAGGGGCTGGGCACTGCAGTCAGGACTGTGTCACACTACAGAGCAGGTGTCAGTGTGCATCTGGGCACCCAACAGAGGCAGTGGAGTGAGGTGTGACCCGAAACACCAGTCTTCAAAGAGCAGGTCATGTTGCAGTGTGGGTGTAAAAGTGCCTCCCGGACACCTGGCTCCGCGTGCTCTTGCCTGCGGCTGCATCGAGGTCCAGGAGCCACACCCCCTCTGGACTGCTGTCCTCTCCATCAGGGGTTCCCTGTGCTCTGAAGTCCACTCCGAGTCTCCTGCCTGGCAAGACTCTAGGCAGGGCAAGCCAGCGAGCGGCCCTGGGCAGGCTGCCCCGCCTGCCGAGGCCGGGGTCCCTGTCTCCTGCACATGCTGGGTTTGTGCCCTTTCTTTGCGGGGCTGTATTATTGCCATGGGTTTCCCCAGGTGCCTTGAATGGCAAGTGACGTTAAGTTGCTCAGCTGGCATTGAACCTGGACCACCAGTGTCTTCACCCCAGGAGATGACGTGAGAAACCTGCTTTGTTTCCAGCTACTTCTCCTGCTTCCACAGATGGGAATACTTTTACTGTCCTGTTTTTCTGTGTTCTCTGTATTAAAACGGCATGTCTAATTATTAAATAACGTAAATGTAAACTTTGCAGCCTTACTAAATGTGATGTCTGGTACAGTGCAAGCAGGTACTTTGATAGGAAATTGATCCTTTGCCGACTGTTAGTATGTAATGTAAAGCTTATTACCTTCTCAGTTCCCCAGGTCAGTTTCCGTGATGTTGCTTAAGTTTGTAGCACTGGGAAGTGGTGCATGCCAGTAGGAAGTAGTTGCAATGACCCTGCTCTGTGTTTCTGCTTTGTAGTGTGTGTGTCAGTTCAGCAGCTCCCCCCGTCTGCAGTTCTGCGTCCACAGAGAAGGGCAACTCTTGTATTACCTTGGGGTCTCAGGTACCCATGGCTGAAAGCAGTCAACAATTGATAGGCTTTAAATGTGCCATTCTGAGTGGGGATGCTGCTCTGCCCCTTGACTGGTGTGTCCATGGTGATGCATTGCCCACTAGAGTAGCCATCGCAGTCATCAGATTGACTGTTACGGTATCAGGGTGCTGTGTTCCAGTAACACTTTCCTTAGTACAGCCTCAAAGCCGAGGAGCAGTGGTGCTGGCAGTTCAGGTATGCCAGAGAAGCCAGAGGTGTGCTCTGCACCACTGCTTGTGGTCACAGGCAGGAGTGCCAAGGAGTGCCCCCAGGTGCTTGAGAGAGACCACGTCCACCTTGCTGTTGCAACATGTTGCTGCGGTGGCGTTGCTTTGTCATTGTTGTGAGTCTCTCACTGCCCAGTGCACAGGCTGAACTTATCCCATGTCTGTGTGTATAGGGAAAAGGACAGGCAGGGTCTCGGTGCCACTCAGGCTTCAGGCACCGCCGGTGCCCCTGTTGGTGTTGGGGAAGATGGAGGGGCTCCCATCAGGCAGGCAGGCAGCTTAGCCCTCAGGCCTCAGAGGCGAGGAGCCCTCACCTGTGCCTGAGACGGGGACGTCTAGGTCAGTCGGCTTGGTTAGGCAGTGGACTCAGTTAACAGCACTACAGACACACACACGGTTCGTTTCGGAGGAATTGAAGCCCAGGGTTTGAGCATAGGAGACCGTGTAAGTGGGTCTCACCTGGGAAGAACGCGGCTTGCTGGCACCATCGCCGGGCATGTCCGCTGGGGTGGGGTGACGCTGGTGCGTGGTGCAGAGGGGCACGTCTGCCCCCAGGTGTGCAGTTCTGTCGGTTTTCTTTCACAGGCTTTCTAGACCCTGAGAAGAAGCTCTTTTCCCACCGGATCTTGTCGCGGGATGAGTGCATCGACCCGTTTTCTAAGACAGGAAATCTGCGGTATGTGCCAGGCAGGGCCCGTCACGGAGCAGGGCTCCATTTGGCTTCTACTTTCAGAGTTGCGTTTTGAGAACCAGAGTGCAGGTTCTGGAGTTGCGTCTCCTGGGAGTTGGCCCATCTTCAGCAGTGGAGAGCCACAGCGCCGCCTCCTCCCCCTGAGCCCTGCCCTGTGTCCAGAGTCCCCCTGTGCTCTGCTGCTCTGCCCCAGGCGGCACAGTGGCCATCTCACCCTGCACTCGTGGCCACCACAGCCTGCTGTTGAGGCTCTGCATGACTCTCACTTCACATAGGCCTGGGAACAGTGCTCCAGGTCCCACGCCTGTGCAGAGGGCCTCCTGGACCAGGCTTCAGAGGCAGGCAGTGGCAGTGACTTCCCACCAAGGTCCCACTCTAAAGTCACCACCTCTTTTCTGCTGGGCTCCTGGGGAACTCGGGAACCTGACTGCACAGGGTTGAGCGTGGCCCATGGCTGGACGCCTGAATTGTGTACTGTCTGGCCCTTTAAGAAAAGGATTGCCTCCTGTTGTCAAGGAGAGGCGGAAAGAGTGGTGCCGGTCCAATTCCTTTGATGTGACTCTCCGGAACCACCAGGAGTGGGAGCTGAGTAGAGGTCCCCTCCTCTCGTAACCTGCTCTGCTCGAGGCCTCCCCTCAGCAGGACAGAGCGCCGCGCCCGCTGGTGCCTACTTGGTGCAAATGGCCTGTTTCCACTTGTAGAAACCTCTTTCCCTGCGGAGACTCCATGGTCTGCATCATCGATGACCGGGAAGACGTCTGGAAGTTCGCCCCCAACCTGATAACCGTGAAGAAGTATGTGTATTTCCCAGGCACAGGTGACGTGAACGCGCCCCCCGGCCACCGGGAGTCTCAGGCGAGGAAGAAAGGTGGGCAGTCTCCTGGCGCGCGGCCCAGAAGCCAGCGCTTGGCTTCGGTGTCTGTCTCTTCTCTCGTCCTGTCTCTGTTTTGGCTGCTGTAAAGTCAAGATTCACTTTTTAAATTTAAATTTCAATTTTATAGAATCTGTTTATATTTCAGTTTTATTTGGGGCTTATGTAATACTGAAAATCAGGGTAATTAAGAGGGGTATCTTCTTGGTCACGTAAGAGTCTGGATGCTCCTCAGCTGAGTGCTCCTGAACACTGCGGCTCGTCCAGCTTTCCTCAGAGGGTGTGAGAGGTGGGTGCAGGGGCTCTCTCATGAGGATGCCCAGAGCTCAGGCCTGGGCTGTGCTGTCCTGGAGTCTGCAGGGAACCCTGTCCTCTCGGGCAAGCTTGAGGCAAGGCCTGTTGAGGAGACTTGATTTGGTTCTTTGTTTTTGTTGTAATTTTTCAAGAATTCTTTTGTAGTTGTGGATGGACAGCATGCCTCTGTTTGGTTTGTTCTTTTTTTTGTAGTGCTCACATATGCTAGGCAAGTGCCCTGTCACTGAGCTACAGCCCCAGCCCCTTGATTTGGTTTTCAGAGTTTCTGTTGATCTCTTTAGTCTCAAAGCAGGGTATCTTGAGGCTCGCAACTACTGCTGTGGTCACTAAAGTAGAACTTAGAGGTCAAGGCCAGGGGAAGGTGGTGCTCAAGGGCCCCTGCGGGGTGTGTGGCGGGGACCCTCTCCTGTAAAGCCAGGGCCCAGGTGGGTGGAAAGGCGCGAGGTTGGCGTGGCCACAGCCTGGGAGGCGCGTGCTCGGGTTCTCAGAGCTGCCGAGCAGCAGGTCATAGAGGCCTTCCCTTTGTGCACGTTTTAGCGAACCATTCTTCTAAAGGTGCCGATGTCTTGGAACCAGCCCCGCCTGTGAAAGAGCCCGAGGAAGGCAGACCCGTTCCTGGGGCAGAGCGGAGCAATGGCCTCGGGAAGCCTCCCCGGGAGCTGAACGGCAGTGAGGCTGCTCCGGGAGCGCCTCCCAGCAAAGCAGATGACAGGGACGCCTGGCCCTGTCCCCGGGCCCCTTGTGGCCGTGAGCTGGCTGAAGCTCCAGAGCCCCAAGCCCAAGCATCCTGTGAACAGGGAGGTCGGACCTCACCAGGGGCACAGCCCACACAGGGCGCCTCCGGCGCGGAGTTAGATTTTGACTTGTCCAGTGACAGCGAGAGCAGTGAGTCCGAGGGCCCGAAGTCGTCGTCCTCGACCTCTGAGGGGGAGAGTGAGAGGAGAAGCCGAAAGAGACCTCCAGCTGCCCGCGCTGGAGTCAGAGCCCCCCAGCAGGGAGGTCCGCCTGACGCGGGCGGGGAGAGACTGGCAGGGGCAGGCCCCGGAGAGCCAGGGCCCAGAGTCCACACACAGGACAAAGGGCCAGACCTGGACGTGCAGGAGGAGGGTGAGCGAGATGGCCTCTGTGGCCTGGGCAACGGCTGTGTGGACAGGAAGGAGGCAGAGACGGAGTCCCAGAACAGCGAGCAGTCGGGTATCACCGCAGGCGAGTCCCTGGACCAGAGCATGGAGGAGGAGGAGGAGGACACGGACGAGGACGACCACCTGATCCACCTGGAGGAGATCCTGGTGCGGGTGCACAGGGACTACTACTCCAGGTACGACAGGTACCTCAACCAGGAGCTCGCGGAGGCTCCGGACATCCGCAAGATCGTGCCAGAGCTCAAGAGCAAGGTGTTGGCGGACGTCGCGGTGATATTCAGTGGGTTGCACCCAACCAACTTCCCCGTGGAGAAGACCCGGGAGCACTACCATGCCACGGCCTTGGGGGCCAGGGTCCTCACGCAGCTGGTGCTGAGCCCCGACGCCCCTGACAGGGCCACCCACCTGATCGCAGCACGGGCTGGTAAGTGTCCCCCACATTCTGCAGGCGCAGCAGGCCAGCCGCGCTCTCGGGGTGGTCGTGGCCTGCCTCCACCTGATGGTGATCCCTGTCCTGGAGGCTGGCATTGCTATGCATGGCCCAGTGCGCTGTCAGGAACACTTTCTAGAACAGGGACCTTGGGAGAGCGGGTGGGTAATTCCCTTTGGAGGACTTCTTTGCCCGGGTGCGTTCTGTGGGCCTCTGCACTGTGGCTGGCCGCTGTGGGTCCTTTGGGCAGTCACTTTGCTGCTCTGGGATGGTGGAGCTCTCTCCAGGAACAGTGGGAGGGAGCAAGCCAGAGGCTGCGTGCCTCGGGGAGCAGGTGGAGGGCCATGAGCCCTCTGAGAAAACCAGTTGGAGCAAAGAGAGCATTCGCTGTGGACAGGAAAGTGGAGGACCCCTTGAACTGGGTGCACCTCCTCTGGCTTCAGAGACCTCGCCCAAGGAGAACAGAACCCTGGGGTGACGGGCAAGTTTGCAGGAATGCTTACCCCAGATGCTTAAAGCCACAGACGTCTCATCACTTTAAAATGCTTCTCACAAGCAGTTTGACTTCTCCCAGTGAAGACCGCCAGCCTTGCCTGTCACGGCTGCAGACGCTTGGCTTCGCCTCAGGCCAGCACAGCTCTTGCCTGTCCACGGAGGCCGGCGTGGTCCTGTGGGATGCTGTGCCTTGGGTCCACGTCGGGCTGTGCAGAGCCTGGGGTCAGAGTGTGGAGGGCTCCCACCACCGTGTGCCGTGCTCAGGGCCAGAGGCAGGCTCTCCCCCCAGCCAGGTCCCCTGCCAGGAGAAGGCAGGGGTGCGGGGCTCCAGCCTCCGCCCTCCACCTGCGGGTAGAGTAGGTGTGGCTCAGGGCCCTTGCCTTTGTACCCGAGTGCTTCCACATGTGGCTGTTGTCCCGCAGCTTCTCCTGCGCGCTCTGGGCCTGTCCCCTGTGGGAGACCCTCGTCCTCACGTGAGGTGGGCAGCACCTCGTCCTGCCTCACAGCACAGGGGTTGTGCCGCCAGGGAAGTGACCAGAGCTGCAGCAGCCACCTCAAGTCACAGGGGTGGGACAGGCTCAGCAGGAGCTCAGGTGGAAGCCTCAGACTTGGGGACACTCGTGATGCACGAGGGGGAGGACAGGTCCTCAGGAGGCCACCCAGGTGCTGGAGTAGAGCTGAGAGCCCGTCGGGACCCATGGAAGATGGTGGCGTCTGGTGGGATGATGACGGCAGGGCTGGGAAGAAAGGGACAGGTGTTTGTCCCTGCAGACGGCTCTTTGGCAGGGGCAGGTCCAGTTGCGAGGCCCTGGTAGTGTGTGGAGGGAGAGCTCGAGGTCCTGGTGGTGGTAAGATACACAGGTCCTGCCCCTGGAGGCCAAGTCTCGGGCAGAAGTAGGCGATGCTGCTGGGACCTGGCCTCTCAGGGTCCCTCCTCTCGGCTCCTCCTGGTCCCTTCCCCAGGGTGTCCTTGCCCTGGGTCTGTCCCAGATGCCCTCCCCCTGCTGCAGGGACGGCCTGACAGTGGTCTCCACAGGCACGGAGAAGGTGCGGCAGGCGCAGGAGTGCAGGCACCTGCACGTGGTCAGCCCCGACTGGCTGTGGAGCTGCCTGGAGCGCTGGGACAGGGTGGAGGAGCAGCTCTTCCCACTCACGGAGGACGACGCCCGGACGCACAGGTGGGTGCTAGGCCATGCCCCGCCCCTGAGCTGTCCACCCATCCCTAGGTACCTGACCACCACCGGCCTGTGTGTGTGGCTCTGCCTCATCTCCCGGCAGGCCCGTTTCACCGAGGATCAAATGAGGTCTAAGTCGGTGAGGGGAGCTTGCTGCTGGGCAGTGTCCCCCAGTCCATGCCATCTAGCCCCCAAAGCTGCTCCTGAGCACTGGTGTGTCCTGCACGACCTTTGCCCCATCCCTCAAGAAAGTGACCCCTCCCCGCCCGTAAACTCGGACGGACTTAGGAAGCCCGTGTGCAGTCATCAGAATCGAGGCAGAACCGCTTTCTCTGTTTGAGTGAAGCACGAGGTGGCTTTTAGTGGTGGATCTTAGCCTCGTGCGTCCTGAGGCCAGGGAGTATTACGAGTCAGGTAAAAGCACTTTACAGATGAGCAGACCAAAGAAAGGACGGGCAGGGCCGCGCAGAAAAGGTCGGTGCACAGGCTGTCCTCCGTGTCTCCCGGGGAGCCACTCGTGTGTGAGTGTGCCTGCCGCTGGGCCTCAGAGGCAGAGTGCCCTCGCACTCCCCAGGCAGCCCCACTGTGCTGGTGAGGAAAGCCTGTCTCCACAGCACACAGGGGCTGCTCTTGCACATCCTCCTTCAAGGAACCCGACCAGGAGACAGAGGCTTTGGGAACCATGTGCCTGGGCAGTGGACATTGGTGGTCCTGCATGCTGTCCCCCCTGGTCTGTCCCTGCATCATGCCCATCATGCCCTGTGTCCCTGTGCCCCACTGGGCATGGCTATTCTAATGGCCCTGCTCCTGCCCTCGACAGGGAGAACAGCCCTACAGCCTTTCCTGACAGGCACAGCATGCTTCCAGCAGCCTTGTTCCACCCCACGCCCGTCCACCCCAAGGCCCAGCCTGGCCCCGAGGTCCGGATCTATGACTCCAACACAGGGAAGCTGATCAGGACCGGTGCCCAGGGCCCGACACCAGCACCCGCCGGCTCCCTGCCTGTCCACGGGGAGTCGTCCTCCTTCAGGTAAGCACGGCGCCTGAGGCTTTCTGGGTTGTAAGCGTCCACCCCATTAGGTGATGGGTCAGCTACCTACGGTGTGGGCAGGGATGCTGAAGGTTGAGTTCAGTGTGTGGTGGCTCCTGGGCTGAGGGGAGCAACTCAGTTGGTGGGCACCGGGGCTCCTCTGTTCATTTCTGTGCCCCCTCTTGGGTTCCAAAACAGCAAGCAGAGAAACTTGTGGTGGATCCTCTAGAGCATCCTTCATAAGCCCTGCACCTCCTCGTGGTCCTGCACGTGTGTCAGCTGCCCCCGGACAGCCCTGTGGGGTGGTGCTGGCTCTCTCTGATGCCCTCCAGGCCTAGCCTTGCGGGCCTGTTGTCCCCGGCCACCTGCCTGCTTCCACACTCTGCGTGTGGGTCCTGGTGATCTGAAGCAGGCGGAACGTTTCCCAGAGTGGCCTCAGTGACCCTTCACTGCTAAGGTGTGCTGAGACAACACAGCAGCAAGAGGACCCAGCCAGGGTCTTGGTTCAGGATGGCTGCAGGGTGGCTCTCCTGCCTTCTGGATGTGGGCAGGCCTAGCGCCACCAGGGGACACATTTTTATGCCTGATAATGACAGCTGCTGCTTACATGCTGGTTCCTCCCAGTGACGGAGCGTGGTCACTGGTGGTCACTGACCTCAAGGGTCGTGGTCACACACTCTGCTTCCTGTGGCAAGGCTCTAGGCTCAGACTTGCTGCATGAAGTGGGTTCCGCGTCAGGACGCTCTGGCAGTGTTACTGCAGCAGGCGCCCTCTGGGCCATGTTCCCACCCCAGGAGCCATGCCCTCGCTGGAGCACTGGTGCCGGGCTTTCTGTGGGGAGCCTTTGGGATTCTGGCCTGAAGAGCAGCTTTCACTTGGTGCCGTCGAAGGCACTGGAGAGCAGCCCCCGGCCGCAGGGCTGCGCTCATCCACGTGGTGTGGCCTCGCTGAGCCGGTGGCAGTGCCTTCCCGGGCTCAGGAGATTCGTGGTGGGGGTTCGGCCGGGAAAGCAGTGAGGAGGCACAGAGGAGGAGCCCAGTGAACCACAGACCTCCCGCCTGGTGGGACTGCCGCCCGAGGAGTGGCTCCTTCAGTGACCAGTCAGGCAGAAGGGTCCGTGAAGTACGCCGCGGGGTAGGCCATTCACAAGACAACTCTCAGGAGACCCTGCCCGCGGGCCTTGAGCACTGGGGTTTCCCTCCCCTGGGGATTGGCGTGCACCACCCCATGTGCCCTGGGCCTGGGTTTTATGGAGGTTGCGCAGCTGTGGCTGCGGGAGCACTGGCTCTTGGCGATTAGCTCCATCCACAGCCACCCCCTCCAGAGGTCGCCGGTCAGGCTGGATTAGCAGACCTGGTCTTTCTGGTGGCCAGCTCCATCCTGGAGCTGCCACTTACCCTCTGCGTACTCCAGCGTGGGTTCTGTGTCAACAGCCAGGACTGGCACAGGCCTGTGGCACTGTGGGACCTGGCCCCGGGTCCTGATGTCTCGTGGTAGGTGGTGCAGGGCCCTGCTGGGGGCTGCTCTCCAGGGACCCTGCCCAAAGGGAAGTGCTTGGGCAGGGAAGAGCGGTGCCCTGAGTGGGTGCCTATGAAATTCAGGCCTCCACTCCAGTGTTAAGATGAAGTCATGGGTTTAAAGCAGCCACAGAACCCACACTTGCAGATGCAGACGGGAGCCTGCCTGTTCCGAATGTGCTCCTCATGCCACGGGAAAGAAGATCACAGCTTCGCACTTGGGGTTTCTTAGGCATAAAAGCAGTTGTTTAACAGCCACAGGGTGTGTTTAAAGATCAGGTGCAGTTGTTTCTCGTCCGTCCAGCCTTGCCTGAAGCGTGCCTCAGTAGACAGGGATCTAAGGGAAGTGGGAAGGAGTCATTGTGACTAAGAATACTTTGCGTATGGTAAGCTGGATAGAGCAGAGCATGTCTTTGTCCCTGAACGGCTGGTGATGCTGCAGGAGCAGTGTCCTCCGTGCCGGTCCCCAGCAGGGCCCAGCCACAGCTCCACCTGGAGAAGGGAATTGACCCCAAGGTGCTCGTGCCGTTCGTTACTACCAGCCTGTTTAGGTGCGGGAGAGACAGTGATGTGGGCCGTCCAGCTCACCACAGAGGGTCAGACAGCCTATTGCTCAGTCAATCACGCCGTCTGTCAACACCGAGACCCACGGGAAGCAGCCTTTGTGTGCAGGTGGCACGCATCAGCGTTGATCGTTGAGAGCTGTTTCCAGACGTGACCAAATGGCCCTTCTTCCCTCCTGGTGCCTCACAGCACGGGGTACACAGGAGCTGCGGCATGGGTACAGCCACCCTCTGGGCTTCTGTCTGTGGGTGGGGGCATCAGCATGTTGCCTCCTGGCAGCGTCCCCTCCCTGTTCTTTTGACACTGTACCTGCCGAGTCTCGCAGGCGGAGCAGATGCGTGTGCTGGCTGCTCTCTGCACTGTGGGTCCCACACCTGCTGTGCTCCCTCTCCACAGTAGAGTCAGACCCTCCACGGAGGCCCAGTAACTGCCCCCGCCCTTGGCAACGGGAGCCCTCACCCCACCCCGCCACCCACTGCTTCTTATGCCCCCACAGCCTGCACCTTCCCCACCCCCCCAGAGGCACCTGTGTGCCTGCCACAGTGCTGCAGAGGGCCACCCTCCCCCACCCAAGAACGACAGCCACTGCTGTTGGGTCTAGAACCCTGGGTGGGCCCATTGTGACAGGGCCGGGTGGTACCCAAGGTGGGCTGTCCTCTGAGCACGTTCTCACCCCAGGCTGGGGAACTGTGAGTTTTTCCTGATTCTTCGTGATATTTGTGGCTCTGGGCTGGGTAACTGGCTCTCCTGGAGACTCAGATGGGTGGGTGTGAGGTGCAGGACCTCATCCGAATCAAAACCTTTCCTGCCAAAGACCCCGTGGAGAGGATGAGGCAGCGCAGGACAGACAGAGAGGACGACGGGCATGTGCAGAGCTCTGCAGGGAAGCAGCAGGAGCCGCCAGGGAAAGGCAGCCAGCAGGTGGGCAGAAGTACTGTGGTGGATGCAGTCAGCTCAGCCCACACCAGCTCCCTGGCTACCTGGGCCTGGGAGGAGGCCATGCTGCAGGACCTCTGGACACACTTGAGACTGCACAGCTGAGCACGTGTGTTTGTGTGGTCGCTCCTTTTATTTTGAGGGCTTTCACATTACATGCAGTGGAAGAAATGTCATACAGAGAGTCCTAATGCCCTTGGCCAGCTCCAATGACAGCATCCTCCAGAACCCTGGAGCAGGCGGCACCCACAGAACATGGCAGGAACACAGTCCCCGACAGCACCTACACCTTCCTGCTGCCCCGCAGGGCCCCCAGCTCCCCAGCTGCCCCTGGCACTGTCCTGCCTCATCCAGCCCTGGAGTTCAGCCCCTTGAAGAAGGTTGTCAAAAACAGGGCCCGGAGCCATGTGCCCTGGGGTCTGGTCTTTCACTTGCCGGTTCCCCTGGAGGTCAGTGGGTGTGGCTGCCTGGACAGTGCCTCCTGGTCAGTACCCAGTCACTGCCAGCCCTCTGGGGGCACCTGAGCCGTGCCCAGAATATCTGTTGTTCCCCGTGCAGCTAAGGTCTGGCGCTGCTCTGCCATGCCGGGGTGGGCTGTGTGGCACCTCCCAAGTGTGCCCTGGGAGAGGCTGGGCACTTCCGCCCACCTCTGGCTGCAGGGACACCGAGACCTGCCCTTTCCCTGGCGGCTCTTGCTGCTTCCCTGCAGAGCTCTGCACATGCCCGTCATCTTCTCTGTCCTGCGCTGCCTGGTCCTCCCCGCGGGGTCTTTGGCAGGAAAGCTTTTGGTTTTGATGAGGTCCTGCCTCTCCAGCTTTCCCTCCTGAGTTGTGCTTTTCCCTGCTGTCTGTTGGCCTAGCCAAGCCCTAGGTCCCAACAGTGTCCTCTGCTGGTCATTCTGAAAGTTTTACAGATGACTTATTATTTTGTACTTGGAGAGAGGGCCTCACTAAGAGGCGGAGGCTGGCCTTGAACTGTTGATCCTCTTGGCCCAGCCTCCTGAGCTGCTAGGATGACAGGCATGGCCGGCACCTGGCTACATCTATCCCGGTCAGACTTTGTTCAGGCGGTGAGCTGTTGCTGCACCTCACTCAGTGGCATGCAGCTCCCCTTCCTGGGCCTGCCTGATGCCGCCCTGGAGTTGGTGTGGACCTGCAGCGTGTCTCCAGTCTGTCTGTCCCCTTGGCCTGTGGAACCTGACCTTCCCCTCAGTCCAGGGCGACGGCGGACTTAGAGTGGTGGAGCTGCGGGTGTTTGCAGGTGCTCTCTCTCGGCCTGGGCAAGGCCCTCCTGTGAGTTGCGTCACTGGTGGGCTCTGGATTTTGTGACCGTGTGGCTTTGCAGTTCCGCAGTCTGTTACTGCATGGGGGAGCATATTGATTGGTTTTAAGGATTGACAGCCCTGCTCCCTGGGTCGGGGTGGTGTTGTCCTTGGTGGGTAGCGTGACTCGCCCGGTGACAGGAGAAGACTGCCCGGGTGTACATGGTGGCAGTCTCTAGGGAAACCACCTGGGTTCCTTGGGGGACCCTCTCCAGGTCACCTGCTTCGCACCAGGCAGGGCCACGGCAGTGTGTCTGGAAGGACACGGGCTGAGGGGCACCTGTTCCCTGCAGAGTTGTCTGGGTGTGTCCCCCAACACGTGTGTGTCGCCACTGCCCTGTTCTGCTGGTTCTCCTGGACTGTGTCGAGGTCGTGTGTCCTCTGCCCTGTTCTGCTGGTTCTCCTGGACTGTGTCGATGTCGTGTGTCCTCTGCCCTGTTCTGCTGGTTCTCCTGGACTGTGTCGATGTCGTGTGTCCTCTGCCCTGTTCTGCTGGTTCTCCTGGAGTGTGTCGAGGTCGTGTGTCCTCTGCCCTGTTCTGCTGGTTCTCCTGGAGTGTGTCGATGTCATGGGCCTTTGAGGGACCAGGTGTCGCTCCGCCTTCTGTGTGGCTCTCTTCTGTTCCTCCCCTTCCCTGTCTTCTTTCCCATTTTTCTTTTTTTGAATGTAGTTTTAAATAATTGTTGGACCTTTGTTTTAATTATTTTATTCATGTGTGGTGCTGAGAACCAAACCCACGGCCTCACCCGCTAAGCAAGCGCTCTGCCATGGAGCCCCCGCCCAGCTCTGGGCTTGATCAGTCAGAAGTGACTCAGAGCTTCAGTGAGGCAGTCTGTGCCCTTGCACCCTGCCGCACAGAGGGTCCCATGAGGGTCTCCTCACCCTTCCTGTGCCCCTCGGGGCTCCCTCACACTCCCACGGCCAGGTCCACCATGGGGACCTTTGTCATCTCAGAACTGCATTCCCTTTTCCTCTTTGGTGTGTTTGCTTTGTTTTTCAGAGAGGTGATTCTGTTAGAAGCTAGACCCCCTGACAGTTTTCTTCTGTCACCCCCATTTTGCTGTCATGCCCATCCTTTGCTTTTTGTTGTTGTTTTCATCACATTTTTTGGTTTGGGGATCTCTTTTCGTTCTATTGATTTACTTATTTTTGCTGAGGCTCTGCATTTTTCCATTTAGCTCAGGTGTATTTGTGATGACTTGAGGAAGCATGTTCATCGTAGATGGTTAGAATCTTGGTCAGACGACTGAGTCATCCTGGAGTTGGCCTTACTGCCTAGGCCCTGGTGTTGGCACTGACCAGCCTGGGGTGCATGGCCCAGCCTGGGAGAAGCGACAACTAGCAGGAGAGATGGTGCTGCCGGTTTTCCTGGGGTCTGCCTTACGTTCTGAGAGTCGTGAGCCTGCCTAGAAAGGAGTTTGGGGGAGTGCATCAGCCGGGAGAGCAGCAGCTTCCCGTAGGCCGATCTCAGCAGGAGAGCCTGGGGTTGGGGGGCTGAGCAGACGCACCCCTGAAGCAGGGGCTGGTGATCTGGTGCCACTGTCTGTGACTAGGTGGTTCCACCCCTTGGCCCACTCGTGATTCACCGCTGTACGGAGGTCTTTCCTCGCCTGGTGGGATGTAGATGCCCCTTTCTCCAACTGCTTTCTGCTGTGTCTTCGGGCTCTGGGGCTTCACTTGCGCTCAGTGGCGCCTCCTGGTGGTTGCTGGGAAGCTGTCCCTCCTCCCGTGAGCCGGGGCCAGGCTGAGCCCTGTGGCAGGGCACTTTGCTGGTGCAAGGTAAATGTGAGCCACGGGGCCTAGCCCAGGAGCAGTGCCTAGTGTACTGAGCACGACACTGTGTGTGTGCCCCCTGGTGCCACCAGCTGCCTTCCTCACACAGCACTGTGACATTCCTTTCAGAGCCGTCCAGCCACAGCAGCCGCAGATGTTTGGTGAAGAGCTGCCTGACGTGCGGGACGGAGAGCGGCCCAGCCCTGCTAGGAGGAAGCGGCAGCCCAGCATGTCGGAGACCATGCCGCTGTACACGCTGTGCAGGGAGGACCTGGAGAGCATGGACAAGGAGGTGAGCGGCTATGCGGGAGCTGCAGCCGGTGCGCCCAGGTGTGCACAGGTGTGCCTGTCATCATCCCGAGCTTCCCGCACGACGGTGCCCCCCAGCTGCACCCCAGACAGCCAGGCCTGGGCGCTGGCCATGGTCTCAGCCCGCTTCACCCCCACCCCAGACCTTGTGGCCTTGTCTGGAGAGACTTCCCATCACCAAGGTGAGGGGCAGGTGCCTCTGGCACCTGTGGGCAGAGCCAGGGTGACACTCAGCACCCTGAAACCCTGTGCCAGGACGCCCTGCTGGGCAAGCGAGGACCAGCTGCTGGAAGTTGAGGACCCCTTGAGGCCCGGGTTGCCGTGGGCAGCACAGTGACTCTGAGGGCACTTTCTGGTTGTGTCCTGGACCCCGAGCAGGCCTCAGCAGCCTGCACAGAGTCAGCTCACCTGCTTCCTTGCAGGAGCAACAATGGCAGGACTCCAGACCCACTGTGAGCTAGGTCAGAAGTAGAGCTGAACTAGAAAGAAGGCGTGGTCGGCCTTCACCTTCCCCTGGCTTCCCTTGAGACCAGCCCAGCATCATGCCAGCACGCCCCTCCTGGGGTCACAGGCCGGCCCCGTGGAAGCTGCCAGCCTGCCGAGTGTTGGGGTGGTCTGCGTGCTGGGCACGTGCTGGTGAATGGCCCTGTCCTGGCCCCACTGTCCTGCCACTTGGTCTGGCTGAAGCATCCACCTGCGCCCCACGCTGCTGTCAGGAAGTACAACGGGGCACTGAAGGAGGAAAATGGGACGTGCTTACTTTCAACTGTAGCAGAAAGTGTGGGAGGTGAAATCCAGGATGGAGTCTCATCAGTGGCCCAGCTTTCTGTCACCTTAACGGCACTTGGTCCTCTGGGTGCTGAATTTCTCCACGTACATTGTTCTCTCTTTCTGAAAAGTTAGAGTCAGCTCACCTGGCTCCTCTGCCCTCACCGGGCAGCTCTCTCTGGGAACAGCATCTGCATCCCTTTGGGCACAGGTAGAGAGGGCCCATGGGGCCAGAAGGAAGTCACCATCCTACCCTCCACCTCCAGAAGGTCCTGAGTGTCAGCCCGTCGACTGCCCGGTGGATGGCAGCCACCTACAGGCCTAACAGACCTCAGAGCCAGTCCCAGAGCCCAGTTTGGGGGTATCTGGGGCTCCCTGGCTCCCAGGTTGCTTCGGTCTTTAGCCTTCAGATAACTCCCCAGAGCCTGGGGGGGCCGTGGAGAAGCAAGGTCAGACCAGGCATGGCGCCAGGCCCAGGACCTGCTGCCTGTGTTCGCCGGCTGCCCCTGCCAGCCTTCTCCCTCTCCCAGCCAAGCACACCCCGATTCCATGTTTGTCAGGTCTGAGGCTGCTGGGGAGTCCCTGTGTGGAGGGGCAGGCGGCAGCTCAGAACTGACCGTACAGCTGGCCATTGTGCATCATGTAGAATTCTCTAGTGGGGCCAGGTAACTGAGTGTTCACCCCACATGGCCCAAGGTCAGCAATGCCGTCCCTAAAGCAGGCCTTTGGTGATCACAGGAAAACACCAGAGCGGGTGCTTCCTAGCTGGCCCCTGAGTCCCGAGGCAGATGGATGGAGGGGTCTGCTCAGGATCGCATTGGGATGTGGGTCTCCTGGCTTTTCCTCCTGTTTCCCAGCCCCACCCTGCACAGCAGATGCTCAAAGCCACAGGGCCAACACTGGGAACCACCTCAGGTGTGCTGGGGGTTCCTGTTTTCGCTTGGGGGTTGGTTCTCTCTCTTCCTGGCTCTGTCCCAAGGCCAGCCCCCAGTCACAGCTGTACAGCCAGCTACACGCCACACAGGAACCTGAAACTCAGGAAGCTTCCTTCTGGCCAGCAGAGCCCAAGGGGTATCCTGTGATCAGAGAGGAGTGGACACTTGGACAGCACCTATAGTGCTCTGGGTCATCTTGGGGAACCTGGGCAGGGTCCCCTCGTGCTGGCTCTGAGGTACAATCCCAAGAGCATGGCAGAGAACTTGTGGCCCTGAGACTGACCCAGGCCCCTGTGGCCTAGCCCTCCAAGGCACTTGGGACCACACTGGCATTCAGAGACCATGGAGCGGTGGAGCTGGTCCATGGGGCAGTCAGTGCTGTGCAAGGAATGCTGGGGAGTGTGCTGCCACGGCAGCTCTGAGATGACCCGGCCAAAACTGTGCAGCGCTCACAGGTCCACCCTTCCTGGGGGCAGACCATCCTGAGGTGAAAGGTCAGACGGCAGGTCTCAACCCAGAGGCAGGAGCCACAGAGGTGAAATACACCAGGCATAGCAGAGTTGCTGAAGGTCAGCAGTGGACTTCCCTCAACCACCTGAGTCGTCCGACCTCAAGGAGCAAGGACAGGCTCGGCGGAAAGACTGACCACGGGGATCTCTGCACCACGATGGCAGCTGGCATTGTGTCCTGGAGTCCCCAGGGAGAGAAGGGAGGCGGCTAAGTGTCTCCTGAGGCCAGAAGATGTCAGAGCAGCTTGTCATCGTCCTGCTCAGGGTCCTCCCCGTGCCGTGGGCACTGCTGACGCTGCAGGCGTCTCCAAGACTCTTGACAGTCACTGCAGGTCAGAATCTACCCAGTGAATGGAACCAGCCCGCCCGTGGCTCTGTGGTGTCCAGGTTTGAAGCTGAGGTTCGGAACCACGGGACACAGCCACAGGTGGTGTTCAAGAACCTGTTACTGACAAAGCGCTGTTTCCTATGTCACGGTCTGATTGATACTGCCCAGCCACAGTCCCCAAGAAGAGTCTCCTGTCAGCCGTGACCCAGGCATAGAGGCTTTTAACCGCTTTAAATGCTGAGCCCCAAGGTGAATGGTCCCCTGGGCAGTCACGGCTTCCTTCTTAGATCAGGTGTTGACTCCGTTCTAATTTTTTTTTTATTGATAAATATCTTACAAGAATGCTGTGATCACTCTTTGGGTTCTGAATATTTACCTTTTGAAAGTTTTAGTTTAAGATTTCTGAAATACGAAAATCCATATGCAAAAAAGAAATCAAGTTTCTATTTTGTTTTATAAAACATCTGGCCACACTCCTGTAAGTAGAGAGCTCTTCAGTGAGTCTCAGTGTGATTTGCCCAAGCCATTTCTGGCCCGGACATGCTGCCTACGGCTAACTAGCATTTGCGTGATCTTAAATCCTGCTGAAGGCACTTTCTCATGCCTCAAGTTTGGGGTTTTTTTCCCCCCGTACATCATTAAAGTTCCTCTTTGGCCTTTGAAGTATTTTCTGTTGGTAAAAATGTCCACTTAAAAACCCATGCTGGCCCCACGTCAGGTGTCCGTGTGGCACACAGGTGACCACAGATTCAGCAACTTAGCACGACCCCATTTTTGAGTCACTGCTTCCCGGCTGGGAAGTGGAGCTCAGGGAGCACGTCCTCTGCACACAGTGGGTCGCCCCTCAGGGCTGGCATCGCGGCACACTGGCAGCTTCCTGTGCACCCACCTGTCTTTCCAGGCCTCTTTCCACCCTGAGGGTGCACGCCTCGACCCTGGGGCCCGCATGCCACGGCCAGGCCCAGTTCTGTGCTTACCTGCAGCAGGGCAGCCATACGGCCGCTCCATGTATCATACTGAGCAAGGGTCCTTGAATCACGGTCCCTCCGCATTTCTCCCTCCTCCAGCACCCCTCCTCTGCATTTCCTGATGCTCTCTTGGCCCTGTCCTCAGAGCCGCCAGGGTCTGCCCCTCCTTGCCACTGCTCTGGCACATCCCAGACTTGAGGTGGGGGGAGAAAGCAGGTGAGCAGAGCAGACGGCCAGGCGGCTGCACCCCAGGCCCCAGCTGAGCTCCCCTGGGAAGCCGGCTCAGGGCCCTGCACCTCTCTGACCCGGGCATCCCTCACAAGCATGCTACTCACGTGCTCCGGGCTCCAGGACTTGCAGGAAGCCGTCATCCCCTTGTGTGTGGCCAGGGCCTCCCCTGCCCTCGCAGGCTGGCTGTCTCCAGTGCCAGCCTGGGAGGGAAAGCAGAGCTGCAGGTCAGGCCTGCTGCAGGGTGGACGTCCCTGCTCGGCAGGGGTAGCCAGGGCCTTCCACAAAGCGCGCGCAGGCCCTGACTCTGAGCCATTGGCAGGTGGATGACATCCTCGGGGAAGGCAGTGACGACAGCGACAGTGAGAAGAGGAGGCCAGAGGAGCAGGGTGAGGAGCGTGAGGGTGCAGCACGGCCCCGGGAGCCCAAGGCCCCCAGCGCCCAGAGGGGCCCACCGCTGGGACCAGCCTCGTCCAGCGACCGGAGCACGGCGGGCACCCGCGGTCCCAGGTCAGTGTGGGAGGTGGCTGCAGGCCAGCGAGGGCAGCAGAGCCGGCAGCAGGAGGGGCCAGGAGTGCATTCTGCTGTGGACAGTAGTGTTTGGAGCACCCTCACAGCTGCTGTTGGGAGAGGCTGCTGTCCAACAGAGGCTGTCCTCCGATGCCCTTCCTCACACTGGCATTGAGAGCGTGGCTTCTGGGGAACGTGGGTCTTTGCCACGTTTCTTGGTAGCCATGTCCCCTTCAGGGTGTCCTGTGTGCAGAGGGTGTGGAGTGCCCACAGCCCTGCCCACAAAAGCCACACTGTCCTCCTCTGAGTGCTAAGTGGGGAAGGGGAACACCGGGGCCATGAGATGCCAGCACCGTGTTCTGCTTGGCTGACCTGTGGTGGCTCTGGCTGTGGCCCTTAACCGTCAGCAGAGGAACTCCACATGCCTTCCACTGAGGCCCGCAGGAGGCAGTGACCCGGGCCGCGGGGAGACCAAGGCCCATAGAGTCCAGAGAGGGCTCCCCCATCCACTGTGCCCCTGGCAGTGGACAGCAACAGGAAGGGCCTGGGCTTTATGGCAGTGAGTGCCCTCGGGAGGCCTCTGCAGGGGCCGGGTGGGCAAGCTCTGGTCTCAGCTCTGGTGCTCGCCACAGGGTCTTGGGCAGACGGCCCAGCCGCTCCGCCTGTCCAGCCTGCGGTCACCCCTGGCTTCCTGCTGTCACTCTGAGCTGGGCTGTGAAGCCAGGGATGGCACAGTGGGCATTCGGGGACAGGTGGCTCAGCTGTGCCGGCTGCACTTGGACGTCTCAGGCCAGCGGTGCAGGGACCTTCCCTGTCCACCCCCTGCTCCTCAGACAGGTGGGGTTGCCCTGCAGTCGCTGTTTTACTTTGCACTGAGGATTCAGGATGGCTTTAGACCTGAGACCAGAGGCAGGGAGTGCCCTGTGGGGCTGGGCCACTGGTGGGCCCTCTGTGTGCAGGAGTGAGCTCGCTGGGCTGGGCCCGTTCCCCCATCAGCAGCAGGTTCTGTGCCTCCCAGATGTGGGGATCTCGCCCTTTCAGCCAGGAGTTGGAAAGGAGTGCTCTCTGGTTTCACTGATCCTGTTATGGGGCATGAAACCAAAAGCAGATGGCATCTCTGTTTGAAACGAAGTGCAACAATGAAGTAAAACATTTTCCAGGTCTTGCAGGGGCTCCGCTGTGCTGTGTGGCGCGTTCCTTGGCTACAGAGCCCTCTCAGGGAGGCCAGAGCACAGTGCCTGCAGGAGACCCCCTCATCGTGGGGTGAAATCATGGTGCACGTGGCTGGGGCCCCAGAGCCTGCAGGACTGTGGGAAGAGGGTGTCTGTCTGCGGCTCGGGCTGGCTCTTCAGGGACCACTGCCTAGGAAACATCTGGGTGTCACCTGCAAGTTCTACTGAACAGGGTTGATCTGCAGTGCTCAGTTAAAATAAAAGCACCCCTGATGGCCCTGCTGTCCCTGGTGCTGCTGATGCCTTAGGCACTCGTCAGGGGTGGCTTTAGCAGCTGCCCCAGGAGGTGAGACTTGGGGAAAGGCGATGGCTATGGTGTCAACCTCCTGTGCTGCTGGCCCAGAGCGGGCAGCTGTGCTGCCCTGTGGTAGGGGGCCTTCCTCTGGTGGTGCCTGTGGACATCTGCTCTCATTCATGCTGACCCCAGACTGCCAGCCGAGCTGTGGGCCGTGGGTAGGGGTCTGCATCCCTGGTGGGTGGGGAATAGTCGCCCTGCCTGGCGCAGCGTGCCGTGACGAGGGGCACCTCCTCCCCCTGCACAGCCAGGCCCAGGGGCCCAGGGTCCTCCGCCCACTGCTGCACAAAGTCCCGGCCTGAGAGTCAGCTGTCCTGACGGGCGTCTGAGGCTCAGGTCCTCTGCTCACACGTATCTCCAGACGCAGGCCCAGCCCGTGGCTGTTCCCAAGCGCCTCAGCCATGGAGTGGGTGCCTCAGGGTCTGTGGCTGTACGCGTTGCTGACCGTGGAGTGGGCTCTCCCTGGCATGTGCGAGTGCAGACTGCAGACAGGCAGCGCCAGCTGCATACCTGCCCATCGCCTGTGTCTCACTGCAGTTCTGCTCCCCCTTCTCTTCAGAGGCCACAAGAGAAAGCTGAATGAGGAGGACGCTGCCAGTGAGTCCAGCAAGGAGTCCAGCAATGAGGACGAGGAGGGCAGCAGCTCCGAGGCGGACGAGATGGCAGCGGCACTCGAGGCAGAGCTGAATGAGCTGATGTGACCGGGGCCGCCCCGCCCCAGCCCAGCCCCACTCAGGTCCCTTCTCCAGAGAGACGTATATTTTGCGGAGCTCTGCATACAGAAACACGTTATTTTGCAGAAATAGGTGTTTTTAAGAAGTTTTACTATAGGAAAGTCTACTTTTTTACGTGACGGAGTGCTGCGGGGAGCTGGTGTGCTATGCCAAAGAGCTCAGCAGAGCCGCGTTGTCGTGCAGCTGGAGTTGGTGGCTTCTGCCACACGGTAGGGTGGGTGTGGGGGACCCGAGGAGACTGGGTGACCGGGTACAGGAGCCTGGTGTCTGGTGCTTCACCACCGGAGCTGTCAGAACGCCAAAGGCCAAGCAGGACAGAGCAGCACGCTGCGTGCAGAACACCGCGGTCACCGGCCTGAGCCCCAGCCAGCCTCGGAGGCCCGGAGTCGGGGCTGCCCTGCTCCCGCCGAGGGCGTCGTGATGAGAGGACCCCCCTTCTCCTGGGTGGCCTTGTGCTTCTTTGAGAGATCTGATGTAGAGTTTTTGTATATCGATTTCATATTTGACCCACCAGACAGATTCTTTCATTTAATAAAAACCCGTTTTGTACGTCCTGTTCTCTCTCTGGTGCATTTGGGCAGAGAGCGGCCCCCTGCTCTGCCTCCTTTCTTGCCCGGGTCCCGGTTCTTAGGCTGGGCGCTCTGCTGGGGGCAGTGGCGTCTCTGAACGGCTTCTCGTGGGAGCCTGCTCAGCAGAAAGTACAGCACTGGAGATTTGTTCCAGGGTACCAGGGCCTCGGGAGTGTGGCCAGGAGGTAGACGATGTCCTCTGTGGCTGTGGCTCTTGCCGTCATTTGGGGGAATTTTTTAAAAGATTGCACCATGACATTAACAACCACGGAGTCCCTGTGGCTTGATCAGTAGCTTGACGGAAATGAGTTGTGGGCCGTCTGAAGTGACTGGCCAGCTGGCTCTCCAGGCCACGGGCCTTGTCCTCGGGGTCCCTGGACAGCGCGCTTGGTGCGGACTTCAGGAAGGTTCTGGCCCCTTCACCTGGCGTCCCTAGAGCTTGGTGCCTCCAGTTTTAGAAGCCCAAGGTCTGCTCACCTTGGACAGAGCAGGAAGTGATCCCCACACGTCGGCTCCAAGATGCCACGGCTCCAGGATGCCACGGCTCCAGGATGCCACGGCTCCAGGATGCCACGGCTGGTGTTGGGGCCCAGACTCGGACCAGCTTCAGGTCAGCAGCACCACTGACCTGTACCCTGTTTTCTGGGTTTTTTGCCAAATTAAAAATGAAGCATTAGGGGGCTGGGCTGGGGCTCAGTGGCAGAGCGCTTGTGCGAGCACTGGATTTGGTCCTCAGCACCACGTAAAAATAAATAAAATAAAGGTATTGTGTCCAACTACACCTAAAAAAATTTTTAAAAAAGTGAAGTGTTGGGCTAAGCTGTGTACGCTAGACCTGCAGGTAACTCCAGTAGGCTCATCTTCATGTATTGACCCACATTTCCGAGAGGTGAGGAGCACCTCAGGTACAGCTAGATCTAGGGGTTCCCAGAGGCTCAGCCACGGTTGGTAACTCTTTCGTACGTTGCTGGGTCTGATCCCGGCATGTTCTATTGATTATTTCTTGCACCTGTGTGCCTGAGGATGTTAGTCTGTGGTTTTCCTGTAAAGTGGTCAGGGTGCTGGGACGACGCTGGCCAGGTGAGCGTGTCAGGAAGTCGTCCATCAGCCCTGTCTTCTGGAGGAGACGCAGAGCACTGGTGTAAGTCCCTCTGCGGATGCTGTCCCCCGCAAGCCCCTCCGGGACACTGCTTCTGTTTTGGACAGTGTGTCAGAGAACTGGGGCACACCGTCGAGGTCTTGGTTGTCTGGCAGAGCCATTCAGGGCCCTCTGATGTCTGTGGGCTCTCTGGTGGTGTCCCCTCCGTTTGTCATAGTGTGCCCCTGGAAGCATCTCAGATCATTTATGTTCTGGGAGAATCGGCTTTTGGTTTCATTCGTTTTCTTCTGCTCACTTCCTGTTTTTAACTCCGTCGACTCTACGTTAATATTTATTATTTCTTCGGTTTACTTTGCGACGAATCATTGTTCTGGTTCCTAAAGTGGAAGCTTAGACCCTTGGACTTTCGTTTTTGTTCGTCTCTAACACGCACTTCCTGCTGCCAGCCACCCCCTAAGGCTGCCTTGGCTGCATCCTACAGGTTTTGATAAAATCTTTCTTTTTCATTGAGGGCAAATGTTTTTAGTGTTTCTGAGAGTTCCCTGAGGTTGAGTCTCTGTTCTGGAACTCTCCGGCTGTCTTTGTCACTGTTTCTGCTGGCCTCCCTGTGGCCTGGGCACCCTGCTCCTGGTGAGGCATCTGCCACTGTCCTCGCTGTCAGCTGTGGGCTCCTCTCTTCCTCCTCGCAGTTCTTGACGCTGCCTCCTGGTCTGGTGTGTGGCACCTTCATCGTGAGCAAGGACACGGGAAGGGAGGGTCTCCACCCGCTGTGCAGTTCTCTCCAGCACGCCTCTCTCCACGCAGATGCTCTTCCTTCTCTCTGAAGAATCTGAGTGCACGTCTCTTGCAGGCAGTCTGCGGGCCTCACGTTTCCTCAACAGCTGTTTGCCCCGGAGACCAGCTTGGACTCACTGAAGGGTGTTTCACAGACACAGCTCCAGTGAGTTGTGCTCCTCAGCAAGACGTTTTACTCCACCCGCTCCCGGCTCCCGCGTGTCTGACGAGAAGCTGATGTTATTCCTGGTGTTGTCCTGACTTCCTTCCTTAGTCTTCAAAAAAGAACTGATTTATGAAACATGCTCTTTAAAGAATAAAAGCAAAATAGGTCAATTAGCAAAAAAATAAGTAAAACGCATCCAGGATGCCAAGGAAAAAATAAAACTATCTCCACAGACAACAGTGTCTGATACACAGAAACCCAGCAAAAAGTTTTAATTAGTTATAGTAAGTTCAGCATGGGTACAGGGTATGGAATCAGTCTACAAAAATCATTTCTACCCACCAGCAATAAACCCCAAAGTCAAATTCATTAAAAAACAAACTTTGCATCTACAGTAGCATTTAAAAAGTAGACTAGGAATGTAGAACTACCTGGGACTCACACTTCTGACTTCACAGTTTACTACCATCATCAAGATAATGGGTGCTGTACTAAGGATACCACGGAACAGAACCGAGAGCTCAGAGATAAAACTGCAGCATCTTGGCAAGTCTGCATTGTGTTGTGAAGGGGACCGGCCAAAATGGAAGGGAAGAACTGTCTCTTCCACAAATGCTGCTGGAACAACGGGATTCCACATGCAAAACCAAGGGAATCTACCTCCCACCATCTGTCACAATGTAGGGTAAACTGTAGAGTTCTTACAGGAAAACAAGTCTGTGTGCCCCGGTCAATCAGAGATTTCTTTGCTATGAAACGAGAGAACCAGCCAGAACACCAGTGGCTGAGTGTCACGATCTTCGTCCAGATCACCAGCTCCTCTCCTTCAGAGGGTGCTGCAGGGCCACGGGAACACAGCCCACAGAGGGGGAAACCTTCACGTGGCGTCTCTGAGAGTCCAGTGGCTCCAGAACGTCACACAAAGATCATGTTCTCAAGTAAGAATAGTCAGGAGAGCGGGGCAGGTGCTGACAGGCATTTGTTAGTCACCATGGAAATGCAAACTGAAATCACACCTTAATAAAATAGGCAGTGTGACTTTTGTATTCAATATTGCAGTTTACTACTACTTGTAATGTAATTATTTTTATAATTGACTTTCTATATATTATGTACTTGTATTTAAAGCATTTTAGTTATATTTTAATTAATAAAATTATTAATAAATATGAATAAAATAAAGATGGGTGAGATCACACCACGGGTGAATATGTTGGCAAACCCTGGTGGAAAGAGAACAGCACTTCATCAGAGTCAAAAACCATAATAATCATAACACTACGATATATCCTGGGGAAGCACAGAGACCCTCCTAGACCTCCACACCCAGGGGAACCACAGA